TTATACCGATAGTCTTGAAAATCCCGTTGACATAGAATTCATAAATGACGACAAAGAGTTATTTAATCTTGATAGAGCATTAAACTCTTCTCTCCTACAACTACTGTATTCCAAATGATATGACATTTCATTTGGTTTTGCTTCCCAAAAGGTATTCTCATCACATGGGGCCTGGACTGGACTGGAGTTTTTACCTCACTTAAGCCTCATCAGCGTGCCCTGTAGAAACCGAATCCAAGCAATGCAATGCATAGTTTCCACGTGTTACTATTACATCGCCACTTAGTTTCAGTGGGAAAGTCCAATTGTCAGATCCTCACAACCTTATACTGCTTTGAGTGAATAGAGCACTTTAGCCACACATAAATGGCAAAAAACTGATTCCTGTTTCTGGTTAATGTCCTTAATTGATGCGTCTTAATTAAAGATTTAAAGTCCATTATTTGGTGGAAAATATTGGCCTTTAGCAGGAAAAGTAAATATAATTTTGTTTATTAAATGAACTAAAAATGATCCGTCTTCTAAAAGACTTTAATTTGTTCAAGAAGTCGACTGAACTTTTGATGAATACGTTTACGAATGACTCTAATTTACCCTATTTCTCATATGCGCCCTACTGAATATGCCTTAATTTGCCTTTAATTTTTAACCGTTTCTTCATTAAGAGAACAAGTGCAATGCTTATGGAACTACGTTCCTGCCAATTTGGATGGGGATATATTGGAGTTGGAGCACAGTATTTGCAACAATGAAGCGACCACTTCTGATCCTGATCCAAGTTGTACAGCCGCGTCACCTCCTACAGCTACGACCTACGACCAAGCGAGTCAGATGCGTCCCGGGATCCAACTGTCTCATGATCTGGCTTGGCCACACGCTCTGCCTCCGATCAAGTGGTTCTCACACCTCACCAGTCCTCTTGTAGATGAGTTCGCCTCGACTTGCTCGCCTCTCCAACCGAGTGATCAGCTCATGTCGTTGCCATCAAAATCACTTTCCCGAATCGGTTCAGCATCAACCGGTGACCAGTTGACCTGCGAACGCAATGCTTCAATTGCCACCCTGTCGACCTCCACCACGGCCAATATCATCCCCACCAGCAGCGTCACAGTCTCCGCTACAAGCGGAGACATGGTCGCTTTTTCCGTCTCCTCCTCGCCCTCCATCACCGTTTCGCCTAGTCCCTCAGAGATTGCCTCGTTGGCGAGACAGTCCTTTACATCTCACCCCAACGGCTCGTTCACTTTGCTTCAAGACTCCAAGTTAGGCGCGTATAAGTCTCTCAATGAACGGTTAGATGTGTCCTCTTTGGTACTGGAAGATGGAGCCGGATCCAAGCACTCTGACTCGGAGTTTGCTCCTGTTGCTGACAAAGGCTGGGGCATAGACACTGGCGAGCCTGGAGCTCTTAGCTCGGGCCGTCAGCTCCTCCTGTTGCCACGAGACCGAGTAGGATTTGCACAATCAGCCAGTCCTATCACTCCGTTAGAGACGGTCATCGGCCTGGACTGGGGAGTATGGGCAGGCAGCCCGTCCACACAACGCGTAAGTCTGTCTCTTTATCCTAAATTCCATCAGTTGTATTACGTAACCAGCATATTTCTCGGATTGGTAATTTAGGTTGGTTTGGTGATTTGAGATTCTTCATTTTATCTCTCAACCCAAAATCCCTCCTACCCCAGGGTTGCGAACATTTATGCTATTCATAGTTCTCACTAACAGCTGAGCTCGAAGCTGAATGTTCGTATTGGTGAATCACACGACACATATGATTCTTGATTCACTGTCCCTGGACCATCGGTACTGCTTAAGTTACTGTGGCAATTTGGATTTATAATTATTTTTTATCGCTACTACGACAATTCCGCATAATCTTGTTATTAGTATTCTGCATTTAGAGCTTATGTGTTATTTAAAAGAATATTGCTCTAGCTTTTTCGAATAGTCTGAAAATTTTTGGTTTACTAAAGCGATGGATTCAGTGCCAGTTTGCGATATTTTAGGGTTCTGGAGTAAAAAACTGTTATTTCTACATTTAATCTTTTAAAACAATTTTACAATGAAATTCAAGTCGAGAGTATAATTATCTAGAATTAGCTATATTTATCATCGCTTATTATTGATATTGCTCACAATTTTCAGAAAGAATTCTGAATGAACATCT